CAGCCACCTCTACCTGCAGAATGCCTTCCAGAGAGTGTGGGTGAGTACTGGCCCTCAGGAAGGGGTGAGTGATTTCTTCTTAATTTCAGGGCTGTGAGCTCTGCCATTTTTTTGCATATCCTGAACTGGATTAGAGCAGTATCTGTTATGTGTGTCAGGACATGACAGTCAGCAGTATGCTAGGGTTGCATGTAAATTGGAGAAGTATGAAAAGGCAACTGCAAATTGTACTATTTGTTACTAAAAGTTATAAGGAGCAAGATTATCTGTTTTGTACCTTCCTCAAGGCAGTCTAATTTTTCTATAGAGGAAGGTAGGGAAGGAGGTGGTTTCTTTCACTATTTCTGCTATTTTAATGTATTTCTCTGATTCAACTGTATCTCATTCTTTTCCTGTTCACAGTATGTTGTGCATTTCTGTATCACAAGGCTTTTAACTTCTTATAACTACCATAAACATAACAAGTTGTTTTTTTTTTTTTTTTTCTTTGGTTTGGTTTTTATTTAGTAAGGCTAAAAACCAGTTCTACTAAGATTCTAGGCTTGCCCTACCTGAAACCCACAGGACACACACAGCTCAGCTCACACTTCCACCTGCTCACCCTGCCCCATCATCTGCCTCCTGGAGCAGCCCAGCCTGGCCAAGGGGCACAGGGAGGGCGTAGTGCAGTGCAGACAAATAGCATGGCCCCATGCTTAATGCTTTGCAAGAAAATGGTGTCAGCTTTCAAAGATTACAATTTGAAAATATATGAATTTGGAAAGAGTCTAGAGGCCCAACAGGAGAATGATCCTGGGATGGAACAAAGTATTCTGACAGTTTTAAAGGCTGTAGATGCAAATATATGTTCCTTTCATCTTATTTTTAATTAGGGAGAAACCTTGCTAACTTATCTTGTTTTACAAGGATTTGTTTTGCAAGCAGGTGTTCCACTTGGGCTCTGTATCATGTGTTGGCCGCACGGATACAGCATGCAGGTGGAAAAAAATGCTGCAGACTCTGAAGAGAGTAGAAGCAGGAGGGAGGCTGCAGTGGAGGAGAGAGGAAAGCTGCACTTTGAAGCAGGGAATGCCCTGCTGATATGTTTTGAAAGCACTGCAGGCAGACTCCTTCCCAGAATTTCAACCCTCTCCCAAGGTCAGTAAGTAATATTGCGCTTGCTTAGAGAGATTCTGGTTTAGCTTACTAGTGCTCCTATTGCACTTGCTTAGGGAGTTTCTGCTTGCCATCTTCTGGGGCTATCAAAAATGGATACCTGTGTGTGTGCATATGCCAAATAAAACTCATAACTCTGTGCTGCTCTGACTGTGTAGTTTGCTTGCCTCTGCTCCTGAGACACCCCGTCTCTCCGATGCAAACATATCCTGAAACAATATTATAGGCAGAAACACATTGCAAAATGTGCTGCACATCAAGAAATGCTTTGTAAAAACAAAACAGCACAACTGGAAATAGCCTGTCACCTTAACAAATA